AGCAGTAACAGACTATCCCTTTACGGGAGCACAATGCACTGTTAAAACTAAGCTACAATTTAACTATTGCTGAATTACAGTTAAATGTAGTAAATAACAAATGGAAGTGCTTGTGTTTAGCCCATTAGCAAATTCTGCTTTAAGTACTGTGAAGTGCTCAGAATGATGCAATTTAGCACTGTCATAAAAGGTCCTTCACAATGCAAGCATCATTCATTCTAAAGTACAGCAATAAAGAATAGAAAACATATTATAAAGTCAAACTAATATAATCAGTGTTCAGATGGCAAAGAGAAAACTACGAAGTGAAAATAATCGTCAAAAAAAATCATGACCCAATTACCACTGTGTTACATCTGCATATGTACATCAGTCCTACAAAATAGAGTTACTCTAGAAATTAAGATATCAAGCTATACTGTATTATAGAATCATAAAATTACCAAGTTTGGAAAAGGCCTCTCAGATCATCCAGCCCAACCACCCATCTGTCACCAATATTTCCCATTAAACCATGTCCCTCAGTACAACATCTAAACATTTCTTGAACATCTCCAGAGACAGTGACTGCACCACCACCCTGGGCAGCCTGTGCCAGTGCCCAACACTCTCTTGGGGAAGAAGTAGCTAAGAATTCCAAACATTGCCTTTAAAATGCTACTTCAACAAACGTAAGTATAGATCCAAAATATTTTTCTGCAATACACAAAAATAGTGTATATACTTTAGTTCTTTTTTTTTTCTTTTTAAGTAACCTATAATAATTTTATCTGTTCTTTTGAGCATACTTAAATGTGGAGATGATATTTCAGAGAGCTTCTTTAAACGTTTCTTTAAACGAACTTTCTAAGTGATGATCCTACAGATGTTAGTTGATTACCTGTTAGCGAAAGCAGTATTTCCTAGGTTAATGTGTTCTTGCCAGCTCTGTTTCCTGAGATGGCAAGATTTTGTGTAAGATGAACAATTCAATACACAGGAGACAGCTGGATTGAAATGGAAAGGATTATGTTTGATCACTGACAATTAGATGCAATTAGCTTGCATGAAAAACTAAATGCTGATAGCTAATTGAAGGATGAATGGCATTGACATTGAGTTTAATCTACAGTTTTAATTACATAGTTTTATAGAATCCTTCCATGTAAACATGAATATAGCTATGTAACAGTTATCAATTCCAATTAGAACTTCTTACTTGAATATAACTGAATATCACCACTTCAACTGTAAACATAGTACTTCTTATCTTAGTCTCTCCATCTGGGCAAAAAGAGCAGCTATACTGACCTCCTGAATGTGCAAACTGTTCCTCTATCAAATGCACCAATACCATTTACTACTAATAGGAATCACCCCATTTCTATCTCATCCACAGTCCAAACATTCCTCTGTACAGGCTGTGGAGATCATCCAGCCTTTTAGGTTTAGCTCTCACAGTTGTTAAAAGGCACCTGATTTTCTCTTTCCTGTTTGTTTAATAGCTGAAAACCTAAGCAGACTCCTTGACAGATCAGAAGAGCGTGTAGGAAAACACACACAGGTAAGGGAGACATCTCTCTTCAACCGCAGAGCTGCTAGTACTACTGAAAACGTGTCATCTAGCTGAGTGTATCCTTCGTTCAAGGTAGAAATGAGTGTCCTTAGAATTTTTTCAAATGATTGAATTAACCCTCGGTGCACTTCATTATATAGATAGCTTCACTGCTAGCATACTGACAAAAAAACCCAGCTTCTACATGTTAATATATTCCATAACCAAACCGATGCTGAACAACTACTGCTTTTCTTCACAACTGAGGCAATAACTAAAACACATTAATTACTATAAGACAGTGCACTGAAATAACCAAAAGAAAACCAGAAAACTCAGTCATGAAAGGTTATCAGTATGTCACAGCCTAAGATATGGAGCAGTTACTCCTCCAGTACACCTCTTTAGACTATAAGAAACAGGTCATTGTGCTTTCTGTCCTCTAGGTAATCATAGAAAGGGCTAACAATCAATGAAAGACCAGATGGGTGTTTCACCACAGGATCTACTGAGTGATAATTGCTAAGTAGGAACACGCAGCAATGACCCTTTAAATTGTAATTGCCCTCGCGTGGTGTTCACTTACAGCCCTGCAATTACTCCATCAGAATCCTTTGAAGGGTGTGAGAGACGCTTTATACAACCCTCTGCACCTCAGTTAAATCACTGTTATAACATACAAAGCATGAACAGCTCTCTTAAAACATGAGTCATTCTCATGTTTATAACTTTCATGGCCACATATGTGCCTTCTTCTAGTTTTGCTGAAGTCCTTGTTGAGTTTTGTTCTGCAGATGAAGAGAACAAAAACGAGCAAAAAAGGTATGATATCAACGGCAGTATCAAATGGCAGAAAGATATTACAGATAAACGACAGTGTTGAACAAACACTAAATATTTTTAGAGGGCACTCACATGATATCACAATAAAGCTTTGATGATATGACCTCACTTCTGTTTACAAGAAATGGGCCAGTATTTAAAACTAGGACAGCCACCTCATGTTAGAACATGGTCTTCTGCTAACAATTAAACCAAGGCAAAAAATAGTGTTTCCAATATGCTGTACTGTCTAAGAAGCAGCACAGTACATCTGTGTTATGCTACTTACAACTATAAATTAAAAATACTTGTATTATTTTAAAAGCAAATACATTATCCTCAGCAGCAGTTCTCAGAGTAATTCTGATCTAAATCTGTGTAAGGCTTCACTAAGAGCAGATGGAAAATTTGAGATTACCTTTTTTCCCTCTTCTCCAAAAAGATATGTGGTTTTCAGCATATGCTGGACAAGGTGGAAACTTCTACTCCTAGCTTCTTAAGTACAAATTATAAGATCTTCTTAAGTAATTTGGTCTCAAGAAGGAGGAAAAAAAAAAAAAAAAAAAAAAAAAGAAAAAGGAGGAAGCATTAGAAGCCTTTAATCCTTTCATGAATCTGAAAAGTAATGTAATAAGTTATATATATAAATATATATATATATATAAATTATATATTGATTCCCTGTGCCTTTTGAAACTACAGATTTTGTCCCAAAAGCTGTAAGGGCAATTCTTCCAATCTGGTGAGGTAAAATAAATAAATAAGTAACATCAATCACTACAGAAATAAAACAAAGCACACTAAGCCCCGCATTAACAATAAAATGCAAATTTTAGGGCTGCCATCATAGCGGAACTCCCCTTTGTTGCTCATCTACTAGCATCAGCACAATAATAATTAACAAGTAGAAACAATAACATAAAGGAATGATGTTTTACTGCTCCTTGTGATTAGATGTTATCTGTAACACTAAATGCATTGTAATGATTCACTTAAGAAGTTGACTGTCTCTTTATAATTTTTCCCAACAGAGCTCATTGTTTCCAGGACTAACACTCAGGTTTCTAACCAGCACTTGAAGTTCTGCTCTCTATACAGTAGACTCTGATCAATAGATTCAACCATGGATTTTTACGATTAACTGACTTATTACATGCTTATAATTCTATAGTTGTTTATAGGACTAGGAACCAAGCTAACTAAAACTATCTGTAATGGTCCGTTCCAGACAAATCATTCTGAATGTACTTAGGACTCATTGTCATCAAAGAAGACTTAGCAACAGTCTCCACCTCCAAACTTCCTCCGAGTTTTGATTGTTTTTCTTCATTAAAAGGGACAGGTACAATGTAACTTGCATCTTGGTAGTTTTCAAAAGTTAGAGATTACTGTAGGTGGGGGACCTCTTCAGGAAAAAAAAAAAAAAAGAGAGAGAGAAAGAAAGAGAAAGAAAGAGAGGAAGAGTAGAAAAGCTCCCAACTTAACATTCAAGAGAACTCTTCTCATTAACAAGGGGAACAAAAGATCTGCGGACATATGTATGAAGCAAGCTCAAGGCAACTTCTAAAAACGCCTGGTCGGGTTTCAGCACTCTAAGCAAAAGGGCACGTAATTCCTACTGCATTTTATGAGAGGAAAAAGAAAACCACGATTGCCTCAGAAAATATAGACAGCCTTAAAGGAAAACGGCCTGAAGGGTGGCATTATTTGACTTTTGCCAGCTCTCTGCAAATACTTCGCCGTGACACGGATTTCTTTGAAGTCTCCGAATTAACATGATGTCTCAAACACGTTCGGCTCTGTGTGAAAGCTAGTTCATTATCTCTGGCTGTATAAACTCAAGCAGTGGCGGCTGTTTACTGAAACAACCTGTAAATGTGTTAGCCCGTGTTTGCAGAGGATAAGGACTGTGCCATCCCAAGCCCACTTCAGACCGTAAAAGAAGTTCTTTTCTCACCCTTATCTGAATCATCCTCGAACAGGCTGCCTCTGAACAGAGATTACACTTCTCTTCTTTGATCTACTTTATAAAAACATCAGAACTGTTTACTTTGAAATGCATACATTTTTTAGTGTGTGGGGAAGAGAGATGTTTTAAGACATGAACTGACGTATTTCAAGCCAATTGGTTATTTTCTCAGCCTTTCTCGTCCTGCCCAACATCCTGAAGCATAATTTCACTGCCCAGTCCTTGAATTAATTCATACGAATTAACTTGTTCTACTCATTATTAGAGGACTCAGAACTTCCCACCTTGATCTCTAACAGGTGACCTCACCATCTGCCATGCTAATGCCCCTGCAACTTGCGACTCTTCCTGCCTCGAAAACTTCTTTATGATTCAGGTACTGCACAAACACAGGTCAGCAACTGCACCGTGCACTTCAGAGCACAGAGAAAGCCCTTATCTCTGCCCTCAGCCTCAGGGGCAGCAGTGAAATGCTCCAAGTTCAAACAGCACCAATGCCCCCTGAGCTGACAAAGAGCAGCACGTTGCTTATGGGCATCGTGGGGAGATACCAGAACTTCATATTTTTCCCTTGTTTTTAAGGCCAAGGAATGTTTATTCATACCTCAGATCGCTTTGCTGATAGAAAGGCAAGAGGATTCCTCCAAGTGAGCAAGAAAAACTCCAAATGTGGGGTGAGCTCTCACAGAAGAGTCCTCTGTCCATCGTCACCAGCCCCTCCCGAATCCTCCTCCTTCGTCCCAGGGAAAAAAAAAACTGAAAATCGCGATGTGCTTGGAGTCGGGGGCACAACGGCCATTTCAGGCCGCAACGTGGTTATCAGAGCTGTACGGCCAGGGGGTGACTCAGGGCTGAACTTGGCGCCAGGTCAGGCAGCCTTGAGCCCCGCTAACTGCGGCGCTCAGAGATTAGGCGGATGTAACAATCACCTGAGAGGGAGATTAAAGGCCTCTCAACGGAGCCCTTTGTTCTCGGCCTCATTTGATGCTCGGAGAGCCACGCCGCGGAAAACGCTTTAAATGTTTGCCCCCAGCGCCGGGACGGTTTCAGAGAACGGGGAAAGCCCCACCATCATGGAGAAGGGCCGCTTCTCCGTGGAGTGGTTGGCGCAGAGCAGCAGCAGCGGGGGTAACAGCACAGCACAGGGAGAGTGCGGGGCGCGCGGCGGGACCGCAGCTGCCGGCCGTCGGGAGAACAACAGCGGCACGTGCGGCACTGCCCGCCTCGCCGCCCCTCCGACGCCGCTCTCCCTTCCCACAACGCACCCGGCCCCGCGGCGCTGCAGCCCCGCGCACGAGGTGGAGGCGGGAGGCGGCGTGCGGCCCCGCACCAAATTCTCGGCGGCGCAGCTGCAGGAGCTCGAGCGGAGCTTCCGCGAGCAGCGCTACATCGGCGCCAGCGAGAAGAGGCGGCTGGCTGCGGCTCTGGACCTCTCGCAGAGCCAGGTGAGCGGGCATGGGGCTGGAGGGAGGGGATGGGCGGGTCTGCCGACGGCTCTGCCACGCAGAACTACGGGGAGTCGGCATCCTTGCTTCGGCTGGCACGGTTGTATAGGTTTGTACTGACTCATAAATACCAGATTTCTAGCCGTCTCTCTCTTAAAACGATGCCTACACGCGGTGGCGTTGCGGGATCCCACTCAGAGCAAAGTCAGCCCTGTCGCACCTGAGCCGCAGGTGGCCAAATCGCCACACCGTCAGAGCATCGTTATCAGCCCCACCTCTTGTAGCTGCTACCCTGCAAGTCGGACAGCAGGGCGGCTAGCAGGGTGCATCACTGCTTGGAACGGAGAGGAGTGGGGTGGTTCTTGATTTTTCCTTTCTTATCCCCAGATAAAAACCTGGTTTCAGAATCGCCGCATGAAATTTAAACGCGAGACACAGGATGCCAGGGTAGAAGCCCTTGTTTCAGGCCTGTTCCTGCCCTATCACCAGTACCCGGATACGGTGACACCCAGCTGTCTTCATGGGTTGGATATCAGTGTTTCCTCTACCCTGAGCGCTCCCCTGCACCCAGCAGGGCTCAGCCCGTCCCTGCTGGCGCCCCCTGTTCCAGCACAGCTCTCACAGGCAGCTTTGCCAGGCACAGCTTTGCTGCTTCCCCCCGGCCCAGCACTGCCTGCATACTCCGCTGTGATCCCAGCTGTGACTTTAACCAACGACCACAAAGGACTGAGATTCCAGCCCTACCTACCTTGTTAACAATGCCAAAGATTATCTGTAAGCTGCCAAATATCTAAAGAGTAATTATTTATATTAAATATATGTGTGACTTATTTTTTTATATCTTTTCCCCTAATGTTAAAAAGAAATAAAGGCCTCGAGGTATAATACTGAGAGTGGAAGAGGAAGATCTGAAACTTGTACAGCCTTCGGTTCTTTGTACTGAAACACTTTTCCCGGAGTTTGTTCTCAGAAAACAGCCTATAATCACATGCGGTTCTTCACAGAGAAAAGGGAGTGTTTATTATATGTATGCAGTAGCTACATGATGAACTATATGGAGGACACAGTGATAGCTGTTCACAAGGGACTTTTAAGAAAAGGCTTGTCAATGACATCAAACAAATTAAAATAAAAGTTGAAGGAGGAAAGATTTAGGTTGGATGTTAGGGGGAAGTTCTTTACAAGGAGAGTGGTTAGGCCCTGGAACAGGCTGCCCAGGGAGGTTGTGGATGCCCCATCCTTGGACGTGTTCAAGGCCAGGTTGGATGGGGTCCTGGGCAACCTGGTCTAAATGTGGATGTTTGGTGGCCCTGCTAGGCAGGGGGGTTGGAACTACATGATCCTTGAGGTCCCTTCCAACCCGGGTGATTCTGTGAAAAGTGATACAATAGGTGTCAACCCTGTGGCCAAACACAAATTGCCTCATATTGTATTTCATCTGTCTATTTTGCACAGTCCCTAAAGTCACCTCCTCTTTACTTAGCTGCATTTTAAAAGAGGAAGCTAGGGGATTAATTGTCAATCGTATTTTTTATGCTAGTGCAAAATGTGATTGTAATTTAAATCTACTGTTGAAAACACTCCAGTTGTTCCTAAGTTTTGTTCTAATACACCACTGAAAACATGAAATATTAGTTATTACATCTACAGCTTCAGCTGAACTTGGCAGATTCAATAACTTCAAGCTGCAGTGCAGCATTAGGCTTGCATCAGGTACACTTGGGACTGCTCCTTAAAATCCTCAAGCAAGCTTTATAGAGAATAGCAGATTCAAGCCTACAGGAAGGGAGTAGGGAGAAGCACTCCCTGTATCAGTGTGGAGCTACACCAGCAGTTGTAATTATATCTCTCTTGCCCCTGACCATCCTAACCTGATTGCTAGCTGAAAGCTAAATAACTTTGCACTGTCCAATGAAAATAACAATAGAATATCTCTTTTTGAGGTAGAGGTTATGAATAAAAAAGGAGTTGATAAACATGGCCTACAACCCCATTGTACAACGCTGCTGTTCTTCACTACCCCGCTTGTGTTTTGGGGTTGAGGAGAGCAAAGCTGAATGTACAGTTCTTGGCAGACAACAAGGGACAGTGAGGAATAGGAGATAAACTTCCACCCACAGTCCTACCTTCTGTTCAGATTGTTTTCTCTGGTGTAATACCCCAAATCCTAATCACCAACCATGCTGTAAAGAAGCATCCATACCTTACAGGGCGGAAGGGGAGCAACCCATCTTTGTCACTCAGAGGAGATCCCTCTCCCAACGCACCCACACCTTTTTGCTCCCAGCCCCACCAGGACTCTGCTCTGAGATGGGGTCCGGGAGCTGAATGGACAGAAAGTGTATTAATCTGCCACCGTGCACACAGGCTGTACAACCCAGAGAAAACTCAGCATGGCAACTTAGGACCAGTTACCCTGTAAATTCCAGACACTGCTTCCCCTGCTGACCATGAAGTTCACTGCCAGCCTTGCACCTCTTAGTGCTAAGACAGCATCAGGTTTAGATATCATTTCAAAAGTGAGGTGCCCTCTCAGATTGTTACACTGAAACTCGAAGCCCCTGGGGTGCAGGGCAACAAGGGGAAAATTAAGACTACATTGCAGCAATCAATCTAGTTTTTAATGCACTTAGAAGAACTGAATAAGCTTCATTAAGTTCTAAAAGAAAAGTGCTAATTAATCCCTTCCCTCCTGAGAACGACCACCTTTTCTTAATGGGAAAGGAAAAAGAAAAGTTTCAGGATCGTTAGAGCAAAAAAACTAAAGCTGCTCCCTTCAAATGCTGCTTGTCCTAAAAGCATCAATTTACCTAAGGAGTATTTCAAAATATGCAATTACCATGAGCATTCAGTGGGGAATCAAAGGCCAAATTTGCGGATTAAAATCTCATTTAGACAATACAACTATTAACAGAACTCTAATTATGCTCTTAAATCTTTTTCAAGATACTGGCTTTGATAACTGTAAAACTTTAGAACTCTAAACTGAGCATTTGAACTATTTAATCACTGTTTAAAAAATGAATCAGCTGCACGAGCATCTGTGATTAACACGGTTGGAGCTCTCAGGTGGAAAACAGACTGTTTTCAGCAATACATCAATTAATATACAGAAGAAAAACACCTTCATCTTCCTCCTTTGCTGTGCCTCAAACATGGTATGATACAGCTGGCAAGGCTCAGGCTCTCAAACATAACAAAATACAGAATCCCTCTCACTGTGACTGCAGGAAAGCCAGATAATATGCACACAATTTTTTAATTTTTCCCCATTATTGAAAGAGCAGTTCACAAGTGAAACCTTTGCACACTGTGCACAGGTAACATCTGTCAATTTATATACATGTGAAAACCGAAGGTGTGCAATTTCCAGTCCAAGCTAAACAATTTTGTTCTACACCGTGGGAAATCTTGCAAATGCAAATTTTTGCTTTGGCTTTTCTTCCTTCAGTTCCCTTTCAGCTGCTGCAAGCACAAAATGAAAGCTGTAGGCATAAAACTGTAAGTGTATCATAGCTATAGCATAATTTTGCCTTTCAGCTGTGCTTAAGGTATCTTCAGCACAATACAAATCAAAGGAAGAAGATAGAAGTATTTTGGGGAAAAAAATAAAGCTTTTCAAAAAGGTGAGGCATAAAGAAGACCGAGAAGCACAACATCCAATAAGTTTTAATGCTAATTAGTACAAATATTAATAAATATTACTCTTTACAATTAATTTAGAAAAATAAACATGTAAGATTACAAATCAGACAAAAAATCCATCTAAGTGGAAAAAATACATTTCTCTCACTATACTAATACATCACACTCATCAATTTTTCCTGTTTGTCTGCCATGTTTTGTTTTCACTATCAGGTGTACAGAGGATGGCATTTATTGTCCGTTTTATTCTGAATTACTGAATGGAAAGAAGGATGAGGAGGAAGCAAGTGTTGATGGTAGTACGGCAGCTCGCTTGCCATGAAGCAGTAGGTGCTTTGAAAAGCATCATATTTGGGGAAGGAGAAGCTGAGCTGCATCGCAGACACCGGGGGGAGAGGCAGGAGTCTCTGATGCTGTGGAGCAAAGGGATAGTGGAAAGACAACGGAAAGCCTTCATCGGAAAGGAGGGCTGGAGGGGTGGTTCCCGGGGGGAAGCTGTAGAGCGGAGCAGGAGATACGAGGTGCTGTTGGTCCTGGATTTCCCTCTTCAGTTTCATCCTCCTGTTCTGAAACCACGTCTTGATCTAAGAAATAGGAGGGAGGGTCCGCGAGGAAGTAACAGCTCAGTACTTTGCTTACAAGTGCAAAGTGCAAGCAACGGCAGTACACCGGACCTTTCCGTGCTCACTTTGCTTTAATTGCCTGTGTTGGGCTGATGCCAGAGCTAACCAAGCACAGAGGATCAGAGTGCGGAAGGGTTATGGATGAATCACTTTAGGGCGTTAAGAACGTCTATAACCCTTGCAAGATAGACACAACTCGATGTATATCGAGACCTGGCTAGTTAAGATGTTAGGTATTAAGCAGTGGAACTCAGCCAAAGGCCGCTAGAACGTCTCAGCGCAGCCATGCGAGATGGCCGGCACTCACCTGGACCTCGGAGAGCTGCAGGGCGGCCGCCAGCTTCCTCCGCTCCGAGGCTCCCAGGTACTTCTGGTGCTGGAATGTCTTCTCCAGCCGGCACACCTGCTCCGAGCTGAAGGCGGTCCGCCCCCGCCGCTGACGCCCGCGGCTCCCGCACGGCGCCTCCACTTCCGAGCGCTCACCGCCGGCGCTCTCGCTCTCGTAGCCCGAGGACTCGTCGGCGCTCAGCCATCCGCCGTCAGGGGCTGCCGAAGGGATGGAAGGGGCGGCTGTGAAGCCTTTTCCCCCAACCGTGGTCCGCCTCCGTTGCGCCGACACGAGTTGAGGTCCCGACCCACACCCGCCTTTTTTCTCCTCCCACCTTTCTCACCTACCTGGCTCCGACAGGTAGCGCTCGCTGGGCTCCTGGGGACAGGTCCCACTCCGCCGCTCCGCGCCGGGCTGGCAGTCCAAGGGCTGTTCCGGTCGCGGACTCCCCCGTTGGGGCTCGGCCCTGGCCAGGAGGGAATTGCGGCCGCGGCCCTGCGAGGTGGGGGCGCGGGGAGGGGGGACGCAGCAGATGTGGGGCCGCATCCCGTCGGATTTGTGCTCTGCCAGGGGAAAGTCAGCCTGGCTCATGGCGGTGAGGGGCTGGGGCTGTCGGCTTCGATCAGCTCTTATACAGGCGCTCCAGTCCCGAGCAGGCTAGTTTGCAAGTGCGAAGCCACATCAAAGTGGGAATCGAGCAGAGATAACAGCTGCCAGCGAGGAAGAAAGTTCACACGTCTGGCAAATGTCTACAAGGCCCCGGCTCCAGCGTGTCTGCGGGGCCGGGGAAACCCTCTTGAAGTGCAAACCTGCCCCTATCCCCCGGAGGGCAGGGCATGGGCAGGCCCAGCCCCGCGGAGGGGCTTTTAAAGATGCCGATATTGCCACGACAGGCGGGATTTTTACCCGCTTCCTCTCTGGCCGCGATACCCCAACACTGAGAGCGCCCTGCCCGCCTTAAGGCTGCGGGGTGAGCGATTCCTGGCTGCCAGCTCCGCCGCCTGGCGCATCACCGGCAGAGCGGACCCTGGGAAAAGCGGTTGGGGGCCGCTGATCTCAAACCCCTATCCCCTAGGCTGAGCTCTCACCCGGGCTGGGGCTCGGCGGTGCCGCGGGCTCTCTCAGCTTGAACTTGGCGCCACCTGTCTAGCCAGAAAGCATGCCTGACCTCCTTTGGAAGGGTCTTTGGACCCGAGCGATCAAAGCACGAAGTGAGCAGCGCTCGCACCTCATCAACCCCGAACGGCCCCCAACCCACACGGCGCTTCCCGAGGAGGGAGATGCCTTTGTAACGTGAGGAGGGCACCGCGAAGGTATCCCCCCCGCGTCCCACCCCAGCAAAGCTGGGACCCGGGCTGGAATGGGGAAGGGGCTTGTGACTTTGTACAAAAAGAGCAAAGCACAGAGCCCAGATGTCTTCCCCCGGAACACCCCGTGTTGCAGAGAAAACCATATTCACGCTGCCCTTTTTCATCCTTCCAAGCATTCCCGTAACTCCATGGACACTAGGATGAGCGTTACTGATTCCTCCAGACCCACTGCCTCACCCTAACCCCTACCCCGGGGGAGCTATACAATACAGGATCAGGAGCAATGCAAACGCCTTGCACAGCCCATCCAGCCCCGGAGCTTCTCTTCCAACACCATTCCTTACAGCAGGGCTGGGAGAGGCTGTTCTTGCACAGGCAGTGAGATTGCATTGTCCTTTATGGGGTGCTGGGCACAGCTGTTAATGGAAGTTCAGTTACCACTGAATCCAAACTGTCATTTTGGCTTTGGCTTAAGTCCATGCAGGTGCACAAGCAGCTGTGCACTGAGCTGGAGACCTCCCTGTCTTGGAAACACACTCAAAAGGGCCACCAAACTAGCAGCTCCTTAAACCTCACAGGTCCAAGGCACCAAGTCGTCCAAAAAAGCTCAGAATTTGCACATCAATTTTAATCACTTCCAGATTTAATAGCTATTCCTGTACAACTGTGCATGAACCCTCTTTTTAAAGGAAAAAATGCACCATTTTTCTCACCATTTCTGTCTTATTTCAGAGCAGCCATGAGTATGAATAACTCCATGCCTGAACAAATCCCATCTGAAGAGCTCAGGTTTCATCCCACAGGTTATGCATAGAGCTTCATTGCAAAGTAACTGCAGAGCCCAACTGCCTCACCTAGACCAAATGCTATGACACTCAAAAACTGCTGGTATTCAGCAGATACTGAGTCAAGCACACACCTTTAAGCAGTGTTCTCCCCCAAGGGAAGGGGTATCTCCAGTGCTTCTCCAGCAGGACAAAACTTGTATCAAACCCAAGAGCCCCCATGCCCAGAATTACCCCATGGGCACAAAACAATGTGCAGCTATTGGGGAGAGACTCTTCATCCCTACTGTCAGAACTAAGCCATGCACGAGACTTGGATCAGTGCCATACATGAACAGATCTTGTGTCACCTTATGTCATTTGGGGGTGTAGGGAAGGGAAGCAGTTGACTTGTCCCACTGTTTTCTAAAAGTTTGTGAAATCCACGACCTTTTCTTTATTATTTAATTAGAATTGTCTATTAAGTTAGATGTTTAACTCCTTAGGATTCCCCGCCCCCACCCCGGGGGAGGTGGTAGCCACATCTGTAGACCACAAAACCTCAGAACAGATGGGAAATGGGTAGGAGGTGTCACAGGACTGTTGCAGCTCCCACCAGGAAGAGGTGCCGACTTGAGAATCTTGGGAACTTTGATGATCCTGGGACGGCAGAGTGAAATCACCTCCTCACCTCCAACAGAAATAAGGCTCTTAAAGGAGACTTTGTTTCTTTCCTGATCCATTCTTATGTATCACGTTAGATTTTGTATCACTGGAGTTCTACCTGCTATCAAAAAAATGTTACTGGCGCTTCCCCTGTACCAGGCTCATACTACACTAGATTCACAGAATCATTTGAGTTGGAAGGGACCCTTAAAAGCCACCTGGTCCAACTGCCCTGCAATGAGCAGAGACACCTACAGCTCTATCAGGTGCTCAGAGCCCCCATCCAGCCTGATCTTGGGTGTTTTGATGGATGGGACACCCACCACCTCTCTGAGCAACTGTGCTGATGCCTCATCATTCTTAATGTGGAAAATTTCTTATATCCAATATAAATCTCCCCTTTTTTACTTTTATACTATTCTCCTTAATCCCATCACAGCTGATCTCACTAGAGTTTGTCCCCTTATTCCATGTAGTTGGACTTTAGATACTGAAAGGCCTCTCTCTGTACTCCCCGGAGCTGCCACTAGAAGCTGAAGCACTTGCATTCTCCAAGAATAGCGCTAGTGCGCCAAGTCTATTAACATATATACTCCATCCCCTACTTTTGTGCAACAACATAAGAAACTATGGCCAGAAATCAGGAAAAAAAAAATAATAATCCATCTCAAGCAAAATAATTTCTAGTTTAACTGGCCAACTCCGTAGGTGAAAGCCCGAGGCAGAGGGAGCCCTTCCAGCCTCTTACGGGAAGGGACGCGGCCACCAGCGCTCGGCGGGGCTCAGGGCTCGGGGGGGCGGTGAGACCACTGATCACTGTTTGTATCCTTCACTGCTCCCCTTTGGAAATGCTAACTAGGTTATCCAGCACGCCGTTTGATGTCCTGATAAGTGCTATTAGACAGCCAATTAGGCATCAACGAGATCGATTGTTTCGGAATGGATGCTTTCTGTTTGAAGTAGCCGTGAACACTAACAGGGCCATCACCAGGCTCTCCTTTGCCCACGGGAACAATGCGGGCCGACACACCATAAATAACAAATGTTCTGACTCACCCGGAGTGCTGCGCCCTCCCGGCTCACACGCTGCAGCTATTCCCATTCAGCACTGTGGGACCAAACGCGCGCTTTGCATTAAAAGCGATTTATCACGGAATTCCCATTCAGCTCTTTGCTCAACGGAGGGACAAAGCGCCGAGATAGCCTCGGTGGAGCCAGTGCAAATCGGAGCAGGAACCCAATTCCCACGCACGCCACCCCGCGCTGCCCGGGGATCGGTGACACCTCCGCAGCTGTTCGCGATTGCCCAGGAAGAGTAACTGAGAGCTGAAATGGGAACTTAAACACCTCACCTCCCGAATTCCAATCCGCTGCCGGGATCAGTTCCCCACCAAACGCCTTTACAAAACAACATTAGGTCGGAGCTTAAAAACTTAGTGAACAGTTATAAAAGGTAAGAGAGAAAACCTTTCAACAAAACAAACTGAGACTAAAAGATTTCTCCTTTCTCTCCCCCCTCGTTTCGGTTGGATTTATCAAGTTAATTGGCATCTAATTACGTATCAAAGAAAGAGATAATGGGCTGCAATTAGACATAATGGCCTGGCGGTGCGAGATCCCTCCTGATTAGCACACAACTCCGAATCACTTCACCTGGTTCGTTAACAGGTGCCGCCTGTGGCTCCACGGTGTCTGGGCGCTGCGGGGGGGGGCAGCCGGCCCTATTCCCAGCCGTTGCCCTGTTGGTTGCTCTCGCCAAATTGGGACGGGCGTTAACGCACGGGCTGCAGCAGGCTCCCTGCCATTACCGCGGCGCTAATTCAATCAGGTTGCGCACACACTGCGGGAAGAAAGGCTTTGAAGTCAGCTTTCTACCCTCCCACCCCTTTTTCCTCCCCAGGGAGTCCAGTTTTCAGGTTATACAGCCCCTTCCTAGAGAGCCGCCAGCTCCAAAATGTTCCTCCCCAACTCAGCCACCCGGCCCTGCCATTTGCGGGGGGCTCGCACGCTGCGCTTTGTCCCGCCGGCATCATTCCTGCCCGGAAGGTGGCTGTGATGTGATTAAAGACACAAAAGGGGTGTTGAAATGGAGCTCGCTCTGGTGGAGCAATGTGGGTTCCCTGCTGTGCCCGCGAGTGCCACCGGCCCCGGGGCGAGCGGCCCGTGCACCGCCCAGGCTGGAGCGCTCTGCCCCGCTCCTTTTTTTTTTTTTTTTTTTTTTTTTTTTTTCTGCCTTCAGCCAGAGGCTGCCAGCATAGAGGCCTATGGTAGTATTTTAAGATCACTGGAATGTTAACTTCTAGAGAAAGAAGATTTTTGCGGGTAGAAAAGGTTCTGCAGCTCATACATTCAGGTTACCCTTGCTAGCAGAAAGCCTAATAGGACCTGCCTGGGTACCTGCAGGACTCAAGTCCTTTAACTCCTTAAGCATCCTCTACTCGGAGGCTGCTCCACATCCCTGTTTGTCTCTATAGACTCAGTAGGATTAAATTGCAGCACCGCACATTTTGCTTGCCTCTGGACTCTTCTAAGCCTTTGCACAGAGGGGAAAGTTACCCCGAGGAGCCATGCTTGGGTGTGGAAGGTTGCAGTTAGGCCAGGTTTTCATGGCCTCATACTAAATCTCATCCTACCCCCATCCCACCCCCATCACCCTCTATCCCCATCACCCTCTACCCCCAGCCAATCCTGACGATCAGGAATTGCCTCCCCTCTGTGGGTAGGAGCGTACTGTTCTCTCTCCCTTAAGACCTTTCATCTCCCCCTTCCCCCCATCTTCCCCCTTCCCCCCCCCAGGTCCCATTTGGTTGGGGCCAGGCTCTTCCCCGGCATTGCAGCAGCCCCAGCCTGCTGCCCCGAGGGTTGTGTGCCTCCGGCCTGGCCCTAAGACAGCACCAGGAGCTGTTCTGATGGCATTCTGAGTGAGCAAACCGTCTGGATTCCTCCTGTGCTGAACATGATTAAAAGACCACTTAACCCCTCCACATTTGTCCCTTTAAAAATGGGATAGTCAGTTTGACTCTCTTTAGTTTTTTCCAGATAACTTGTATACTTATCGATCTTGAGTGTATTGCTATCTCAAAAATGTCTCTGCTCAATTGAAGAATGTTTTGGAGACATCTCAGTTTCCCAGTGATTTTTGAGATAGAGCAATAGAATTTCAGATTTCTCTCCCTTCCATTTTTTTTTTTCCTTCAAATTAATACAGTCATTTAATATTTGAATTTGAAAAATAAACATTCAGTTAGATTTTTATTATTTTTTTTTAATCTCCTCTTAACAAAATTCCTTAAACTGCAATATCTTCCTAAAAAAGCCTCAGGAAGATCAATAGCACCTAAAATCCTTATTGCTTTTCTGAAACCCTTGCATTAGAGCCACATTAACAGTGTATCTGTAAGCAAATAGTAACCTCAAAAGACTAAACAAATGCAGCATGGACTAAAATACTAAGTAGACTTCCAAATATGGGAACTACTCAGAAAAATCAAGGGCTGTGGCCTTTGGAGGCACATACAAGTTACTTTGAACCAGGTGAATGTATGACAGAGTGATTTCTGTCTAAAAATGGAATATTTGTGTTCAAGAATGACTAGCACCAAACCTTCAGACCATTCATGATAATGGTCAAGTGCACTGGAAATCTTCTAATAACTGAAGAGACCAGCTCTGAAGTGATGGAAATGTTTATTTCTCTTTTCATGTTAGCTCACAATCAGCTTTGAAAGATTTACAACAACTTACATCAATCAAGGATCATTTTTCATAACGCTTTCTTTAGCCTGAAATCTAAAATTTTATTTTAATAAAATCTTCAGACATTATCCAGTCATGAGCATTACTCAAACAAAAAGTGCACAGCACAATGGTAACAAACTTTACTGCCATTTAGAGAAAAATAGCTTTGAAATGTTGCATTTCTTTTGACAATTACCCTCAAACCCCATTAGGCACATGCAAGATGCTGAGACACTAGCAAATTGCAAGGCCAGATCCCAAGATTCAAGATCTTTCCAAGATCTGTTTTATGCAGTAGGCCTTTGTTAGTCCCCTGAGACATCCCATGAAATTGTGGTAAGGTATTTTCATATATTTATAGAAAACCATTTTTTGTACCCTAAAAATCATAGTCTATATGCTATTTCAATGTCTTCATTACATATTCTGCTGTCGTTCCTGATATATCTATATGTCTTGTTAAAAGCACAGCCCCCTCCTGAAGTGCCATAGTGGAAGCAGCTGAGAGATTGGACAGCCATTTAAGGGAATGGGGGAAGTTAATGCTTTTTGTATGTATCCTCAGTAAATTGCAAGGTACAATACAAGATTATTCTTTCTCTACTAGGGCCAGGACAGAACTAGAGAATAAGGACTGTGCTTCATTCAACGGGGAGGAGCTCTTTCAGGGCAGGATAAATAGTTCTGCAGTCCTTGTGACCAATTCAGATGAAAGCTGAAAAAATGTTAAGGTTTGTTAGGTGATTCCACTTATGCTACCATTTACCCCACTATGTTTGAACTTGCTGGGCAGCTTGGCCTGAAGTCCATGATCTGGATTGTCGATCAGTATCTTGCTCAGAGCTGCATCAGAACTCCAGCAGGCAGATGCAGGCAGGGGCAGCCCAGATATAGTTATTAGATATTAGTGCAAATTCTCCTTAGTCACAGTCCATACCAGCAGGTCAGACACTCAGCAAGAAAGCCCTGGGATCCCTGTATCCTACAAAGCAGGGTGCTGCCCAGAAACCCACAGGCTGTGCTCTGCAGGCACTGCTGATGTCCAGGGCAGGTGCTGGCAACGCTGCCAAGGCAAAGCCCCCCGGGGCAGCCTCATGCCCGGGTAGAGGCGGCGGCCGGGCCATGTAAGTGACTGGCAGGGACACCTGAGGTCTGAAAGGGAGCGCTGGAGTACAGAAAGGCTCCGGTCTCAACTCTTGCAGTTGCCTCTTGAGCTTCATTCGGCGGTTCTGAAACCAGGTCTTGATCTGCGGGAAAAGGGAGCGGGGCAAGAATTGAGATCCGTTCGTAAAGCATCAGCCACCTCCCACCCCACCGTCCATCCCGGCTCCTCGCACCGCGCTCACCTGCACCTCGGAGAGCCGCATCCTGCCCGCCAGCTTGCGGCGCTCGGCGGCGCCCAGGTAGCGGTGCCTCTGAAAGGAGCTCTCCAGGGTGCTGATCTGCTCGGCGCTGAACGCCGTGCGCAGCCGCCGGCCGCCCCTCGGCTCCTCGGGGCACGAGCACTCGCGGCCCCGCTCCTCTTGCGGTTGCCCCACTGCACCTGGAGACGGAAGAAAAAAGCGTCAGGCAGGCCCGAGGGATACCCGTCCGCCTCAATCCCTTCCCTGGCTCCAGGGAGAGGCACACAGTTCATGCAGCCCTCCCATCCCAGAATGAGCCGGTGGCCGCGATTACCTGCAGCGGGGGGTGTTGCCGAAGGCTCCCTGCCTTTCCCGGCGCCTTTCTCCTTGCTCCGTTCGCTCAGTCCGGGTCTGGAGCTCGAGGCGAGACGGCGGCCGGCGGCCGAGGGCGATGATCGGTGCGGGGTGCCCTGGGTGGGACTTTTGGGGGCCTGGCTGCTCTGGGACAGCCACTCCACAGAGAAAGGGGCCTTGGTCATCCTGCTGCGTTTTGGAGCTGCCGAGAGTGTGAGGAAGCACGACTCCTTTATACCTCAAGTCCCGGAGGAAAACGTTGTTTGTATAAATACACATCAAAGAGCCAGATAAGTATCATCTAATTGCCATCAGTCCCCCCCCTCAACAAAAGATACCGTTCACACATTGCCACAGCTAGAGGAGGCCCGGCTCCGCCGTGTCTGCCCCTGGAGGTGTTCGCTCCCCCGTCAGTGATTTACAGCTCCTGTTGCAACCTATCCCGATGCAAATGGCATTTATGGTGCTGAGCGGCCTCAAATGGCACTGGGGAATGCACCCCGGGGGAGTGCGAAAGGACCCTCTCCCCCGGGCTCGGCGGGTCTTCGAGAGACAGCTTTTTTCATTTCAAGCAGACAAGCCTCTGCCTAAGCAGATCTTCTGAGCCTTTTCTCTGGCCTGAGCACTGTGCTCCCCAGACAGCCCGAGGCAGGAATTGCGTGCTGCTGGGGCTGTAGCATCGCAGCATAGACACCAGAGAGGGGGGGCTGAAGGAAGAAGTTGTGAACCAGAAAGAAGTAAGTGCCAAGGCTGCTGGGTTGTACAGGCCGGCTCCTGGCTGCTTATATAAAGCAGTTTTCTGAACTAAAGAATCAGAAAAAGATAATTATTCCTTAGAATTTGCTCTATTTCAGATACAGAATTCATGCCGTATTTTCCTTACCCAATCTTTCCAGCTGTACAGGTCCCACAGAGTTCTTTGCTATCTCACTCTCCACATCTTTCCCCTTACCACCTTATGTGTGCTATTCAGAAGCGTTCCCATCTATGTTGGGTTTTGTGCACATCAGGAACACTTGGCTGTTGCAGTAATGCCTCAGCAGTACACTGACAAAAGACTTCTGGTGCCTTAAGGATGCCTGTCCCACTCTTGTCTGATATCAGCTCATCTGCAGAAATTGTGACTGCAGGTCTGATCTGCCCATCAGTGTTGCAGATTTCTGACTTAAACCCATCCACTGCCACCTGTACACAAAATCAGTGCTTTGCTGTCTATTTGATTTCTTGCTCTGTTATTCTGCCAGTCCTGCTTGGACTCAGCATTCGCTTCTCTGGTCACAGTTAATGTAATTTATTCCCAGGCTCTATTTCCTTGGCTGTCAGTGAGGTACAGGATCAAAGACTGAAGCCCTCCTACTTAGTCAGTTTGCATCTAAATAGTTCAATGTTTTCAAATTTAGTAGTATAAACTCATATCTTCTTTTTTTTTTACTTGTATCAATACAGTAAGCTTTACTCAAACCATCTTCATCTATGATTCCTAAAGTCTACACTTCAACCTCTTGTTCCCTCAGAATATGGTTGTTAGATCTAGCCATCATTAAATCCCACCCAAAGGAAATATGTAAGTCCCTTGTGCCCAGGTTATTTTCATCCCTTACCCCTACGTAGTATTATATATATGCATATAAGTACAAATCATACATGGTATGATACTATATATGCTGAATATATACATACAATAAATACATATTTATGTTTATAAGTATAAAAATACATAAAAATCTATCTGTAGGATTTCACCAGCTTTATGTTCTGTCAATAATAAAGGCATTGGCAAGCTGTTGGATTGGAAAAAGAATATGTGATACATGGTGTTCTATAAAATAGAAATCTCAGGTTTTAGCATACACTGGTGCATCTGTCACATCATTTCTTTACAAATTTGAAAACATTTTCACCATCTGAGCTACAAATTACATCTTTACACACTGCTGGTTCATTAAATGTGTTTTACTGAGGCGAATGTCACAGCCAAAAGATGGTGTAAATTGTTAAGCGCTCAGAGACACAAACTGATTATACTGTGACAAGGTTAAACCAAATGTCATTTTCATTATACATAAATTGTATAAGCATCCTTGATAGATGGCAGATGACTTCTGAATGTAACAATTTCTACAATATTTAACAGCTGCTAGTTTAATTTTATCTACATTTCTTAAGCTCTTTCTATTCCTATGCATTATTCATCAGGCATTTGTTTGAAAACCTCATGCAAAAGTGTGATTCAGAAATACTGTGTTTAGAATCGGGTGATATTGCCAACGGGTCAAAAACCTGCTTACACTGATGTCCCTGGGCTTTTGCAGTTAGAGATAAGCAGGAAGAGATTGCCCCTTCACTTTGCTGCTACAAAGACTGAGAGACGAAAGCTCAGACACAGACACTACTGCCACTAGCAAAAGTCTTAAGATCTGCTTGGCAAACTAAATGACAGTAAGTTTTGCAGTTGTTTGTACAAAACACAGTTGCTCTCTCTGTGGACTCCAAAGGAGACTGAGGATAGTAATGACAAAAGCCAGCCCAGGCAGAGCCATCCTGTGGGAGTTGATGTAGGAGGAAGCATTTTAGCATTCGGGGAAACTACAGTGAGTTGAGATTTGTCACTTGACACAGACCACTGTATTTTTTGCAAGCAGGCACTGAAGTCAAAGTGGCCAAGTTATGGCTTTGTAGTGGTGTGGCTGGTACAGGATGGGACCAAGATAACAGTGCTTACACAGGCAGCCCTCTAGAAATGTGTTTACATGACACTGGTCTCAGGCTAAGGAGGTTCTGCAGAGAAAGGCAGTCCTACCTGGATGCCTACTATGCAGCTGATAGCAGATATTTTGGTTTAGCAGCCCAGCCTTTGAGCACTAATTGCTTTTTTATATCTTCCAATACAAAGGCCAATTCCCCACTAAGCCAGATGAATAACCTGAAGGACTGTGCTCTGAGACACCTACTTCCCGCTGAAGCTTTGAAAGAACTGCAGGGAAAGTAACTTCCAAGCACCTTCAGAAGAGGTACTGGAGAAGGCTGCCAGCATTTTGCCTTGCTGCAGAAGACCAAAGGAACTATTTTCTAAGAGTAGGTTATTCTTTCTTGTTACAACAGAGAGTGCTGTGAGAATGGAGTAGAGTGAGCACATGGTCGTTGGGAGTAGTGTAGTGGTGGTGCAATGAAACAGTAAAAAGGCAACTAAGGACATGCTGGATTCATCTGCATGTTCATCTATGGGCACACATAATTCCTTCTGAGAGATGCCCAGCGAAGTAAGGGCTGCTGGCAGCTGCTGTGCCACGTATGTGGTCTTAGTCCTGGCATGTTCATCCAACCATTGCTATTTCTGAGAAATCACTCTTTAGGATGTAAAAGCATTACAAGTGGCCTTTAAGCAACCTTTTTATCATCAATTCTTTCCTCCCTGACAGAAGAAAAACTATTTTTTCCATGAGGAATGAAAAGACCATACATGCAGAAATACCAGAAGAGCTGGAATAAACAATGTGACAAGGCATAGACAAAAATTAAATTTCTCTTTGTGCTTGGAACTGATATAAATCAATACAGTGCTCAAAATGCTGGGAGCTCTTATGACCCCTTACCATAAGGCTGCTACCAGCATCTGAACAGCCAGTGAAATCTTTCAAAAAATACAAGTTCTGCAGGAAGAAAACACTTACCTGGATTGGTTTAGTAAGCTCTTACCCAATTTAGCCAGATTAAAGAAGAATTCAAAATTGTTACAAATTAGAGCTATATTTAAACACACTCTGCTGTTGCTACAGAGGCAGGGTTACCAGCAGCAAATTTATCGTTATTATTATTTCTAACTACAAAAAAACCCACACCATTAGAGATGAAAAGCAGCGAAGTTTCAGGCATGCAAATCCTTCTTCAGTGGTCACTGCTGTCGTACTGTAACTGAGAGACTTCTCTGTGGACAATTCTCAGACAAAACTGCTCGAAAGTTTGGACTTGGTTTAATTCTTCATAGCCTAGCAAGGATAATTTTTGAACTACTACTAAAAAAAATAAAATAGCATGAAAAGGGACTCTAGAAATGATCTTGTCTCCCAGAATAGATGGGAATTGTTAGGTCCACTAACTGTTTTGGCACCTGGGTTGTTTTAGGACTATGAATTATACAGAAATACAAAATACACCTATGCAGAATAATGTGTATACATAAATTCCTGAGTCCTACTGGTTTTAACAATTATTCAGGTTACTTGGACTGACACTCTGATCAAGACCACAAAAACAAAACACTGAAATACCTTAAAATCTTGTCAAAATCTGAGAGGCTTTTTCAGGTGTTTTACATCAAGGGCTTTTTCTCTGTCAGCATTAGCTGAAGAATAAATGTTCCCATGATGGTAACTTCTGTAATTAAATTTAACAGCTTGCTTAATATAAAACTGATAATGGAACATTTCATGCACTATTTTCACTTTTTGCTTCTTACGAATTCCTTCTCAAGAAATACAGCTGTACTATCACTTCCAGAAAGTAACCTTTCACTTTCAGCTATCACATAATTAATCTATTTTCCCCCTTAACTTTAGAGCTAGCATTTGAGCATGACAGTGTCAACAGGGGAATAAGACATCACATCTGGCTACCCTGGGTCATCTGTTCCCCTTTGTGCCCGTCCTGGTCTACGTTCTATAACGCTGCATAAGTCTGTGCAGTGAAAACATTTTACTGACTCTTTATTCATATAAAGAAGCCAGCTTCTTTATATTAATGAGAATGTTACCTATTTCAAAAATGGGTTTCAAAGTTCTTCATTTTGTATTTCTAATTATTTCTTCCCCTTTTCTATCTTTCTCACTGTTACACTGTTTCTTCGTAGTTTCTTTATTCCAATCACTTACATCACATACTCTGGAAAGGTTACAATTAGCTGAGGAAGAAAACCCTTACTCTGAGTAACACAGAACTATAGCAACAGAGGACAATTGACCCTCTGCCTCCACTGCACACCAAAGCAGGGGAGAACAGACGTCCTGACATTCCCTCTCAGCTTAATAATAAGGAAAAAGTGAGCATACAGTGGTGAAGGGCAGGAATACAGTTAGGTAAGATGCTTAGCTACACTAACAATATGTGATTCAGTGCAAAGCAGTGTACTTCCTTTGACAGGCTTCACAAATCAAAGGAAGGAAACTTTAAGATTTAAAGATATAGGATTAAAGGGAGCAGTTACACATATAGCTTTACAATCGGGATGCAAAAAGCTTCTTTTATTTTACATCTGCCAGCTTCTAAAGGGCAGATTTTACGTAGTCACCTGGAAAGTCAATCACTTTTCACAATACCTTTGCTCTCAGTGCGGCGCGTACGTAGTGAAACTTTGGAAGGCTCTCTTGTGCCATCTCCTGGTTGTAGTAAGACTTCACATGCAGGAAACTGCTGCACGAGGGAAGGAGTAAAGTTGAAGTTTAGTCGATGCAGTGGCTTTCCTGGCAGTGAGAGAAGATGGACAGAATTTGCTTTCCACTTTCCCTGAACATACAGATGTGCATGGAGGGCTTTTGCCTCTCTTTTGCTTTTAGAATTAAGACACTTTCCCACTGCATTAATGTAAGTATATAATGGAAATTCTGCATTCCTCCGTAACATCTCCTGTGCGAGTTCAAGTGATGTACATTCTGCCCACACCTATTTCATTGCTACATATCAGTGCAAAAATAATAATAAGAACCTTGAAAATTCGTGACTGGGATGCGATGAAATATGTTCCCTGATTGCAAGAAAACATTTGAATTTTGGTCCAATCCACCTCACAGAGAACACTGAAATGGCTGAATATCACTGCTGAGTCCCTCTGCATTCTCAAGGACAAGAACAAGAGGATGTGTGTGAACACTCATCACAACTTGATCTGAGCTGTTCTCACAAATCCACAAGAAAGGGGATTCTACAGGCAGGTACCCCCTATTCCTGTGCTCAACAAGACATTTTCCAATGTAAAAACTGAAACACAATCAACACTGTTTCAAAATTAATACCTCTTGCCTTGAACTTCACGAAGCATAGAGAAAGCTAGTTCTCTTCTTTTCTACGTGAAACTTTTTACAGCAAAATTTCACACACACTGAGTCCTACTCAACATAGTTTTTTTCTGGGTCTAACTCTTTTAATCTATGTTTTTAAAAAATACTATTTTAATTGCTATCCTCCAGTCTCTTTTGTTTTGCCTGTATGTTTCCTAAATGCAGTGCCTAAATTATAAACTGTTACTGCCAATGTCCGCTAGTGCCAAATAGAGCAAAATAATTACCTTCTGTCATATATGGCTCTCTCACATCTCAGATCTTCTGGTCCTTTTTTCTCCTTGTTTTCTTCATTTTGGAAAAAACTGTACAGATGGATTCATATTCAGTTTGTGATACATTGTGGTCCCAAGAGTTTCTTTTTTTGAGTTCCCGCAGTTGTTTTTTCATTTCACAGTTTTCCCTCAAAACATAGGAGTTAGAGCTTAAATTTAAATCATTATCACAACTATTTTGAGTTCTAATCTTATACTCTGCATGGGTATGTTTTCCATTCCATCTTCCATATCATTAGTCAAAATCTCAGACACAACTGGATCAAGGCCCTATTCTAATATGGATAGCCCTGCCCCTATTACATCCTCCTCATCTTCACAATTTAACAAGCAGTAGTCGTTGAAATTACTGATTAGTTGTGCCCCCAGCTAACAGCACATTCACCTGGATTAACAACCTATACATAAGCAGGTCACATAGATCTGTTGTAAAGAGATTTATAGACTTAAACATATAGTATGCTGGTGTTTTTTTCCACATATTGGGACAGTTATGCTGACAAATGAGACCATTATGTTTTTCAAAAATTACTTTTTGGACAAATACATGATAGCATTTAAAATTACTCTCTAAGCTTGTAGAGATTTCAAGTAGATTTTTCAGTATCTCTTCTGGTATCAAAGTTCATCTGGCTGACAATGTAATTCCCCAAGCCACTCTCTTTACCTTGCCCCTCCACTTATTCTTATCTCCTTTTCCAAATTTTGATTACTATTTTCTTTCTTAGTTCTCTAGGAACTCACACATTCTCCCTAGATCGAAAGTACAATACCACCAAGATTATTTCAATTTTGCTCCTTATTCACTATAGAACAGATTTAATCAATTTTTTAATCAAAATTAGCACGACAGACTCCCATTCTCACTCCTAGTTCCTGATTAACTTTGATCACAACATGCATTGTTGAGAGCAGGCTGTGAAACAGCAAACAGCTTTACCACCATCTGACAGTTATCCACCTCTTCTGCTCAGCAAAGAACTATATGTAACAAAATTTCTGAAGAATCCACCCTTACTGTTTTGCTTTTCTATTGCTGGCAATAGCATTTTGTATGTACAGTTTTATTACTAACCTGCTGCGCTATTCTTTTCTATTTTTCTTGCTAATTCACCCCTTCTTGCTTCTCCTGCTTCTACCTTTTTCAGTACTCCCCCCT